GGTATATATGACATTTCCATAATAGTTATATATTACATATTAGTTATAATATATAAATAAATGTTCAGATGTTCAGATGTAAAACCATTCTCTTTGTTGTCTTAATGCTTTGGCAATACAAAATGTATTTTTATCATGCCAATAAAGCTATTTGAATTTAATTGAATTGAGAGAGAGAGAGAGAGAGAGAGAGAGACTTTCACATTAAACCAAACAACAGTACACCGGTTCAAAAATCTCTAGTATTAAAGTGGTCTCGAAAAAAGTTGTGTGGGTTTGTAATGTTGTAACAGTGTGTAAATTACAACAAAATGTAACGTTTTGGATAAACTATTCCTATCATTTAAACTAAAATGATTGGGAATAATATCTTAGAATACTGTGCAGTTGAGCACACTGATAAATGGCTCATTTTGTCTCCTTTCTTGCTTTGTCAGGAGGTTGGTGATTGATCTTTGTAGCCAAGTTCTGAGTGAGGCAACTGTCACCTGAGAGTTAATTTAATAAAAAAAATGTACACAGTTGATCAAATATGCTACAGTTGAATGAACATCACATATTACTGTGATGTTCTCACTAAAATGCCAACCACCACACATAGTTAGTTTACTGCACTTAGTAGAAAACAGTTGGATCAAATCAATAGCAACGAAAACATGTATTTAGTAATGTTTTCTGCCATGTTCTTATGTTTCTTTGCTTCCTGTATTTTGACTAGTTAACTCAAGGTAATTCCCAGTGAATATGATGAAATGTTTAGCTATGCACATTTTTATTTTATTTGATTATTTATTTATTGCCGATAATAATACCACACTGCTATTGTTGTAACATTAATGGTATGATGTTATTTTGTTATTTAATTATACCGAGGTAAATATTTATACAGGGGTGTTGGCAGTTACTTCTTCAACTTCAACTTCAACTATCTGAATAGACTTCAACTATCCAAAACAAAAAAATAAAGATTATGAATCCTACCTGTTGTAAAATTCTCAGTGACCTCACTTATAAAACAGCATTTATTTTGTTGTAAACTCCAAATATAACTCACTCCGACATGAATGTGTTATGTGTATCTTAATGTCATGTGTAAACACATCAATGATTAGTGGTCAGGCTGTCAATTCATGAAATTATCAGCTGTGCCCTTAGAAGCAAGGTTATTATAGTTTTGCATTTTTAAATTCGTTTTATTTTAATATCGTTTTCAAATTTGCAATCAAATTTAGTTTCGTTTTTATTCGTTTCATTAATAATTTTGTTAGTTTTAGTTTAGTTTTTATTTTGTGAACACATTTCTATTTAGTTTTTATATAGTTTAGTTTCAGTTTTAGTTTTAGTTTTAGTAATTAAAGTTTATTAGATTTAACAGATCACTTCCAGAGCGCAGGCCAAAGAAAGACGGCTAATTTAACCTAGTGATGCAAACGTCTAGCGACACAAAATTAAAGCATGCTGAGATTGATTAGATGGTAAAAGTATACAAATACACACCAAAATGAAGCAGTCATAGTGATGCAAACGTCTAGCGACACAAAATTAAAGCATGCTGAGATTGATTAGATGGTAAAAGTATACAAATACACACCAAAATGAAGCAGTCATGCCTTTTTAAATCTACACGTTGTGCTTACATTATATGTAAAACGCACTAGACTGAATGATAATACATTTGTTCAAAACAGTCTGGCAGATTGTTCACAAGATGTAGGCAAAAGTTTTTATTGTATACAGGAAGGATGCGCGTTCTTATCATTCTTCTGTTGCGCTACTTGTCTATTTTTCTTTAAAGCACCAACTTGCCTATTTCGGTTTGATTGCTTGTGTTACATGAGAAAATAAATAATTTTGCCTTACTGATGCAGTAGCCTATTTAATGCGGGTGCGGTTCAGGTCGCGGTCTTTATGTCAAACGGGTCGGGTAAGTTACAGAATTAAATTGGTGCTGGCTGCTGTCGGATAACGGGTAATGGGTCGAGTGTTCTGTTAAGTACTGCTGGTGCATGTTTACCAAACAGGACCCGTGCAGGACTCTGCTTTAAACTGCTTTGCGTCTCTCCGTCAGATAACCTCACGTGTATGATGGGGTATTTCCTGGTATTTCCCTAAACCGACACACAGCTCATATATTTTTCCGCCACGGGGTGAGAACGTAATGATTACGAAAACGGTTATTTATTTTTGATAATTATTATTTTATTTCAGTTAGTTTTGCAATAACTGTTGTTAGTTTCGTTTCGTTTTTTGACCAATCGTTTTCGTTTTAGGTTTAGTTTTCGTTTACGAAAATAACCTTGCTTAGAAGTCAGTCACTGAATACAGCGCATTAGCTGTCCTCCTGTTATGCATTCAAAAAACCCTAATCCATTCTCACTTCCAAGGCATCAGATAATAACTAAAATCATGTCCCAAATATCATGTCATGATGACAAAATTATACACCAGCATATAATTTAATGCTAATAAAATTCCCATACCATCTGCATCGCTATCTAAGTTATAGGCTAAAGTTATAGGCTGTTGACAATCTTGTTGAGAGAAAAAAATAGTGGCCTTGTCTCTGCATCACATCATTTTCTTTCCTAAACCAGTCAGCAGATTTTATTGGTCAACTCCATCACAGTCAACTGTCAAGAAAGGCTCAGACTTAAGGTGCATTCGACTTCGGCTGCAATGAGATTTGCCACTTGCAGTCAGGGGAGGAATTGAAAATTGTGCGCCAAGTCGGACACTTTCTGCTTTCCCATAGTAATGCTCACACAGTGTCCACATACTTTATCACAGATGAAGTGGATTAGAAACAATATTTGTCAAATACACAGACGTTTCAGATGTTTTCATGAAGCAACAGAAACACTTTTCATTCAATAATTTATGTACTTCTTAAGACAGTGCCTGTAAAATTTAAGTCAAAAGGCCTACTATTAAAATACCAATAAAGTCAATACTATTAACATACTACTAAAGTGGGGTCTTTATTTTTTAATCAGTTTTATTTTGATAAACATGGCATTAACATCACATGAAACATATTTTTGCTGTTATAAAAGCACTTATTTGTGAGCATTAGCGGAACTGAAAGTGTCTAAATAAACAAAACAAATGTGACTTGTCATCGGTGAATCCAGCCAATCGTGATATAACTGTGTCATCATCAGAGCTTGTGTGGCCGCTTTGTTAAAAACAGCTCAGAATGAGCCAGCCGACTTGTGGTACTTTGTTGTCATACGTCACAGTGACGTGGTATCAGCACTGTCTCAAGTCAGACAACATTTCTAAACGAAATGCACTGCTTCAAGTCAGACACTAATCGGCTGCACAGTGCCGCATCAAGTCGAACACACCTTTTATTGTTTTGGCCCAGAGTTTAGAAAGAAATAATGAATAAATTAGATCAGGACGACACAGTAATACTATCTGGATGTGTTACAATACACTCTCAAAAAAAGGGAACAAAAGTCAGTGGGGCAGTATCTTTTCAAAAGGTACACCTTGGTATTTTATTTACCCATAAAGGGTGCATACCTTAAAGATACATATTAGTAACTTTTGAAAGGGTACTGCCCCAGTAATAGCTTTTGTACCTTTTTCTGAGAGTGTACCAGCGCTATACTAAGGTTAAGGTTAGGGTGTATGTTAGGATTAGGAGTATTTGTTTTCATTACTGCGTAGACAAATGTTAATTTCAAATCCTGCATATCAGTCAGAGCACCAAGCAAAAACTGCACGCCATTTCACTTTCCTCAGCACTGTGAAGTACTACATAATCGATTATGCTGATTACAACTGTGCAAAAAAAAAAAAAAAAAACACTAATCATTTTTTTATGACTTGTCTGAAGTGTTTATGACGCAGTTTGTTCATAGAACAATTACTATTGCCATATTTCATCAAGACAGATGACCTGTACAGTACACCGTTGCTTGCAAAACATTTCAAGGACTACAGTGTATAACTGGTCCTAACATGAACAGCAGTTCTGGACATAAAGCTTTCCCACTACTTATAAATTCTGTGTTGTATCTGCTGATACCTAAAGGTTTTTATTGTTAAAGTGGCCATGTTTTACAGCATCTCGTTGGAAACAAAGAACAGATTCTCAAGGGCCAGTAATTATTTAAAGACAGTGTCAAATACACTCAAATACTCACACATTAAGATGCATAAACAGACACTCCTCTGTGCTACCATATTCAGAATGCATGATAGATACACCCAAACACAAATTGCTTCTGAGTGCCAAGTCTGCGCTATTACACTGCAGCTCTGACTACAGGACTAAGACATGTCCTTAATTTATCTTTGCTGCATGCAGATAAAGCATTTTGGTTTCTCACACAACAACACAGTACTGGATGGATAGCAGGAGCACTGTAAAGATGCAAACCCATAAAGATATGTGTCATGGACATGTGTCGCATTAACAAATAGGCAATGATTATTACTGGATGCTGTGTATTAGAATGCCAGAAAAGTATGTGTGCAGATTCAGAGGGATGTGAAAGAGATGAAATATAAGGCCATACATCATTCTGATGCATGAACTACAGTATTAATAAATATAATATAAAAGACACATTGTGGTTTGGGTGTAACATCACCCTGAAAAGGTTAAAAAAATGGCTTTTAAAGATCTGAAAGATGATTACTGTAGTGGACATCATGCATCAGAGGGTCAAAGTGGTATGAATACAAACTACAGGCTTTAACTACTAAATAGTGACAAAGACAAAAGCTATCTATTTAAACCTTGTATTAAAAGTACTACATAATGACAATAAATAAACTAAAATAAATAAATAAGAGTGCATCCATGTAGCCTGTTGTAATGCTAGTGTTCTTCTTTCTCAGGCAGGTGCATGTTAAGCCAGACTTGAATGCTGATGGATGGTTGATGGATGGTTGGATGAGAGGGTGGAGGAGGTTTTTTGAGGGCCCGTGTCCCTGGTGCTCTGGTGGAGATAAGGTGAGATGGAAAATGCCGATGCCTGCATTACCTTACACCTGCGCTCGGCTCTTTCACGTGAGCGCCTTCTTTTCTCACTGGCTTTCTCCAGCGCTTTCAAATCGGGAGCCTGTTCCATCTCCACTCGGGCCTTTTTGATGCTCGCTGCAGCATGCGCCATAGCAAAAGTCCCTCAATATCAGTAGCAATAAGCAAAAATCGAAGGATGAATGATGTTAGCAATGTAGAAATAGGTCTTAGGTGACTTTCAAGCCCAAGGGTAGACGAGTAACACCCACTGCCACAGCTCTGGAAGTACGCAGGGAGGTAGAGAGAGAGAAAAAGGAGAACAGAGAGAAGCAGTGATGCTCAACTCCTCCCACGACAAGTCTAAATAGACAAGCAGTATCAAGCAGCATCCTCCTTCTCCCACTCTCCAGAAAACTACATTTAAGGTGTGAGTGTATGTGTGAGGGAGAGAGAGAGAGAGAGCGCTATAAGGGGTTGAGGAACTATATGAGCATAGATAAAATAATTAGAGGTAAACAGGAAGAGGGAAATAGGGCAGACCCATCCCCCTATGTGTCCTCAAGCTGCTGTCAGCCGCTTAGCTTTGGATTGTGGCACAATCAGTCATTAGACAACATGCCCTCCTGACCAATCACATTTTTTCAGGGTGTCTCTGGGCAGGGTGGTAGGGATGGAAGGGTGTGGCTACTGTACTGTATCGCTCAGTGTTGCTGAAGACAAGAAAATGGGTGCAGCCATGCGAGAAAAAACAGGAGGGGGAGATAAAAGATTAAAGACACTACTCGGTCTTCTGCAATTCCCATCCCCTCAGCATTCCCACATCTCCCTTCCACCCGTCGAAAGAGGAATTGGTGCAGTCCGCCTCTGTGTGGTAAAACTAGCTGATTTATACACTCATAGATACTGCTCTCGTTCACTGAGCCTTTTTCAAATCCCTATACTCATATTACTGATTACTGTACAAAGAGACAATGGCACAGTTTTGGCAAAATACAATATACCAGAGAAACTTTAAAATAAGAGAAATCAATAAAATTGCATTCTTTTGTTTTATAAACATAATACAAAAAAACAACATATCTGTTATATCCCATTGGTCTCTGATGGTGGGACTAAAAAAAATTTATAATAACAATATACAGTGCATATTATTATTATTACTATTATTATTATTATTATTATTTATACAATTAAATATATCCCTATATAACCTATATTTCTATCAGGTGGGTTTTAACACTAACACAATACATAGCCATTTTGAATTTTGTACATGCATTTATTGTAGTACAATTTATATGGTTCAGAGTGTTTTTTTTAACACATGAATTGTCTGGTGTTAATATGTGGTCTTGTTTTATTAATATAATGTATTTTTTCTCATAAAATAATGATTTTTTTTTTAAATTAAGAACACATTAAATAAACTTAAAACAAAGCTTTACAGCACAGACCAAAACAATGCTGGCTAGTAGATGAAGACACAGTCAACAAAACAGGGCTGAACACAACACACCCCTCCATCCACACACAACTCCCCCTGAACAAATAGACATGCAGGTAAGAATGCTTTGAAATTCATGAAATAATAATATTTCATGAACTGTCTGACTTTCAGGTGCAGTAAACAGAATTCATAAAAGTTAGTTTAACTGCATGGATTAGCATAGTGCTAATCGTGGAGAGTGTTTTTTTATAGTGTGAGTATACTTGTAAGTTTTCTTCAAGTAAACGTATCTCATACATACAGTATAGATTACAATTTATATAATAAGTTAGCACATAAAGTATATGCAGAAAAAAAATGGAGTATGTCCATCCATCCAGGGTCACAGGATGGTTGGAGCCTATCCAGTGTCTCATGAAAACACCCTGGATGAATGGACAGTCACAGGTCTTGCATGCACACAATCAATATACAAGCATACAGACAATTTAGCATCTTCAATTCACCTGTCCTGCATATCTGTAGGGAACCGGAGAAACTGAAGGAAACCCACGCCAACATTTAGAAAACATGCATACTCCACAAAGAAAAATCTAATGGATCAGCTGGGAATCTGCTTGCTGATGAAATGTTGTGTGTCAATGTTATTTGCTTGAATGTTAGTAACCAGACAGTTTCTGGTCCCAACTGACTTCCTTTTTTTATTTTTTCCCTTCATACGATGGAAGTCAATGGGGACAAACACATTCTTCAAAATATATTATTTTATGTTTGACAGAAGAAAAAAAACATACAGGTTTGAAACAACTTGAGGTTTAGATAATGAATAATGACAAAATGTTCATTGTTGAGTAAACTATCCCTTTAAATGAAAGTTCATTAATATCTTCCAAAGGTTTTTATATTTTGATATTCTCTCTCTCTCTCTCTCTCTCTCTCTCTCTCTCTGGTGATGCTATAGCAACTACTGTTGTAAATAAGTAAGTTTAGTCATGCTAGCATGTAAACTTTTAATGCATGCATGTAATAATAGCCTCACATTAAGTGTTATCCCTTTTATATTTGTTATATACTTTTATATTTGTTTGATAAAGTTGAAGTATGATAAAGTATGGTTTCACACCTGTAGCTCATTTCTAATTCATCTAATTAATGGTATTACAGCTTGCTCCTTGTTACCACACTCACTGGTTCCCCCTTTAAAACTAAATTATACCAAACCAGATGCACACAAAATTGCTGAAATGAAACAAACATTTAGTTTATAAAGTAAATAAGAAAACATTTAAAACCTATTTCAAGGCTATAGGTAGATTTCTGAAACAAGCACTTTTGTACCGACTAGCCTGACAACACAAACAAAACTGGCTCAGCTATTATTGATAATTTTCCAAAAGTGTCACAGTCGTCAGTAAATCTTGGACCACAACTAATAGTGTTAGGCCTAAGTCAATTTTCAACAATAACAAACAGACCACAGTCTCCTATTACTATCTTCATTTCAAAGTGTTTTGTGTTAAGGACATTTATGTAGCTCAGAGAAGCAGTGCAGTTCAGAGCACAGGCTATTCAGTTGTTTCACTGTAAATACTTTGTCATGGCGCCATCTGCTGGTTGTCTATTCTCTAGAGCAGTCATCTCCAGCCTTAATTTCGACAGAAATATAACTATGGTGTTTCAACAGTTCCCAAGAGTCTTCTGTTTCCTTTCCAGTCATAGTGTACTTTCTGCTTAAGGATTTCAATTGGAATTTAAAAGATTGTCCTTAGTAGTGTACAAATGTTCCCAGAACAAACATCAAACAACAGACTAATATTATCAATGAAGGAGTGTGTTGTTTGTTTATTTATTTATTTTAAGGTTGTATTTTACACAAGCACTCACATAGAGCAATATATGGCTGATTAAATTGTAGAGCAGAGATAAAAGACATTTCAATGACTACTTAAGATTTTTTCTATATTCCATGATTTTCCAGGCTTGGAGATGACAGAACATTTCCAGGTTTTCCATGTACTGTGGGCATTGATTACAGTTTTTCTGAATTGCTAAAACACTAAACCCCAATCTCTGAACCAAATTCTCACTAGATTAAACCAATCTGTTGAATAAAGCACTATTTCTGCTAAACCTTAAACACGTTCAGGCAGTAAGGCTCTATTTGCAAATCTCATGCACTCTTTTTGCAAAACTCTAAACACATTCTCATTCACTCAAACACTTATCACACTGTGATGCATTTGTGCTGCAAAATGCTAAACACAAGCGACAAAAGTTAAACACAACTAAAGCACAGTTGTCATCGTTTACACACAACGATTCAAAATTGTTCACACTTATTTCAAATGACGTACTCAAACCAACTGTACAAAA